CAATCACTAAACGATGAAGTGACAATATTTTGAGTCAATACAGTTCAATACAGTCCAATTCTTAATTCTTCGATAACTACACGGTGTAGTTATCGAAGAATTAAGAATTGGACTGTATTGAACCCTAATAAAGTTAATATCAATACTATCATAAGGGTAAAGCAAAAAATATTTCCTTGAATGAAAAATAATAACAGAAGCATTAGTTGCATTAAGGAAGAATTGACAGTCTTTGTCAAGCTCTCCTCACTTTGATAGTCACGTGGCAGGCTATAAAGACAGAGTCTTTTATCCTCTCTGCTAAATAAAATAGTTGCAATCTTTGGTTTTTCCTCAGTGAATTCTGTTCGCATTCCTTAGAAAAGTCCTTTGTATTTTCAGAGCCTGTAGAATCAGTTAATAGTATAGAGTTCGCTTTTGATAAGATTGGTTCGAATTTCACGATAAGTTTCACGATAAATTTCAAGATAAATTCGCGGTATCTCTCAAAATGCCCTTTCGAAAAACGCTCAACATCTTTTAGTGTGGCTATACCGCGAATGGTGTGTGGATTTGTAAGAGATTTGAGAGTGTTTGAAGTTGAATMYATGTMTTCCATCTCGTATAAAGACGACACCTCGACGACACCATGTAAAGATAGCACATGGAAGTTGTGAATGTCACGTGATTCGTACCCAGTGCATTCTAGTTTGGCCGAGACAATTTGTGTACCAATACGACTACCATGACAAAGAAGGCCGAAACCTAAACTCGCGGTTCCTGTGGAACCCCGAGTAAAAAGCCAGAACTTTGAATTCTTCTTATATATGAACTGCCAATTCTGTGATAAAATATTAGAAAAACCTTATGCCGTTGAGCGACTTAATACAAAAGCCGGAGAAACAATAATTAAAACGGGCATAACATAGCGACTTAGGTTAGAGTTTTTCTAGAAGTTACCTGTTGCAAGTTATCTATAATTCAGTAGAGATATACTAGCAACAGAGTTAGGATTTTCGAGTTGGATTTTCGAGTTGGATTTTCGAGTTGGATTTTCGAGTAGGATTCTCGAGTTGGATTCTCGAGTTGGATTCTCGAGTTGGATTCTCGAGTTGGATTCTCGAGGATTTTCATTTCATTTATACTATATACATAACAAAAACATACACTGGAAAAAATCGCGCTCCTCGAAGGTTGTAAATTTAATGGAAAAAGTATGTAAATTTGATTTCCATTATATTTACAAAGGTTGTAAATATCGTGTAACTGTCCAAAATGATGTAAATATTGTGTAAATCTGGATTTACGCGATATTTACATCGTTTGATTTTCATCATATTTCCATTAAATTTACAACGTTTGTAAAAACGATGTAAATTTTCGGTAAATCGAATTTACATCATTTTTACATCAAATTTACATCGTTTTGGGGGAATTCTAGAGCAGCCCAATTAAAATCATTCTTATAAACAGGGAAACTTTTTGTTTCAGTTACTTTTTTATTTTAAATCATGTAAATATATGCAACAACTCGATAGCGAGGCTTTAAATTATCTCAAATTCAAGATGGCGACCTCAATGTCACGTCCGTTCGTCTGTATTAGCAGCGATTTTTACTCGAATGTCGTTAGAAAAAGTGGATTCTTAAAATTGAATGAGAAAAKTTCCAACCCAATGTGAAAAATGCCAACGAAAAGGTGAGTGATGTGCTTATTTTTGTCTTGTAACCTTACATGCTTTACTTATTTTTGTTTCCTACTGCGGGCTTTATAATTAAGACAGTGGGATGTTTTAGCTTTAATAGTAGAAGAAGACCAACAAAAGTAAGTTGTGTCCACATATCAGATGACAAACCATTAGGTGAACTGGAATACAGAATGTGATTGAGCTATAGTAGGCCAATTTGATATTAAGCCTATGTGGTCATATGAGTTATAAACCATTAAGTCTTATATCTGATAAAGAAACATGAAAAAAGGTAGACCGCTAGTTGCTAGTTGCTAGTTGCTAGTTGCTAAAAGTTCGGTAAGACCGGTAATAGAAAATAGACAATATAAAAATTATCAGTCAAATTAACGAAAATATAATATAAATAATATAAATAAATTAATACTTTCAAGATTTAAATTCAATATTCTGCTGATTACATTTAAATCACTCAAAAATCAGCTGGTTCCCTATATCTACACATAATAACATACACCTAATTGCAAAAACGTTAAATTAAACTTCTCAAAATTGTCTAGTTTTATTTTTTATAACGTTTTAGCATTATAAATGGGTTTTGAAAAATATCCCCTCCTTATATATATAAATGTAGATATCGGGGCAGGAATCAAAAAACCACGTCACAGCTAAATTTCCAACGTTTATTGAAAATACGCTTCAACTAAAGTGAAGAATTGAAAAAATAGATGAGAAATTACATAATGTACGAAACCATCAGCTAATAAATGTTTAAGTATAGAAAAATTACAATAAAGAATAGTTTTAACAGCTAAATTTACCTAATTGTGGCTTCCCACCATTGTCCTTTGATCTTTAGCAGCAACGTTGAGAAAAACAATATACGTGAGATGAAACTGAATAAAACGGAAAAATATACGCGAAATGCGCGCGGAAATGCGCGCGGAACATTCGTTGCCTAGCAACTTTCGGGACTGAAGTCCGCTGGACTAAAATATCGAGCACACTAATAAATATGGCGGACAAGTTTCACGCGTTGACAATATATACTTGATAAATTCCGAGGTAAAGATGTGTTTCTTAAAGTTTTATGCTTGTAAAAGGTAAGAAAAAAGGAGTCTAGTAATGATCTAGACAAATAGATAAATTACAAATGATAATGTCATTAAATTTGTTTTTAATAGTCGAAAGTTCGACTAAGTTCTTGGGTGTTCGTGAAACTCTATGAACATATGCAGTAATATAAATATCACAATTTTAACAACTTAAAAGTCATTTAGAGAAATTAAAAAAATAACTGTGTCTACGCCAAATATCAAGATAATAACAACAATCTCTAAATAAAATAGTTGCAATCGTCGGTTTTTCCTCAGTAGAATTCTGTTCGCATTCCTTAGAGAAGTCCTTTGTAGTTCCAGAGCCTGTAGAATCAGTTAGTATAGAGTTCGCTTTTGATGAGATTGGTAGCTTGTTTGATAGATAGTGCACGATAAATTTCACGATAAGTTTCACGATAAATTCGCGGTATCTCTCAAAATGCCCTTTCGAAAAACGCGACATCTTTTAGTGTGGCCATACCGCGAATGGTGTGCGGATTTGTAAGAGATTTGAGAGTGTTTGAAGTTGAATCCATGTCTTCCATCTCGTATAAAAACGACACCTCGACGACACCATGTAAAGATAGCACATGGAAGTTGTGAATGTCACGTGATTCGTACCCAGTGCATTCTAGTTTGGCCGAGACAATTTGTGTACGACGAATACCATGACAAAGAAAGCCGAAACCTAATAATAATAATATAATATAATGCTATTTATATAGCGCTTATCCAATTCTGTTCTAAGCGCTTTAAAACTACATGACATCTACAAAACACATGAGAGTCATATCAAACAATTGCCCCCACAAAGTTATCCTTCGTTTAGCAGCCATATATGGTAATCTTACCTTATTTGGAAGTTCGATAGGAATGGTTTTTGTCGATTTTCTCGACTTTTAAAGCTTGAAATCGTCGGAAACTTGCAGATATTATAGCGAAAACACTTCTAAACAATCCGCCATTTTGTTTGTTTCCATATATGGCATGGATTCGCTAAAGGAAGCCCAAAACTAAAAAGCACAGGGAACCCGCACGAATGATATACAATTCTTTGATATGCTTGGTAGACTGTGAGCTTGAGTTGGCGCCTCTGGCTGCCGCTGCACAGTCCGTCCCAAGATCTCAAACTAAAAAAGTACAACAATCAGATTACATCACAGTGACAATAAACAAGTYAAATGTTTTTGCATRRTGGCYGGTGGCTCAAATGAGCTCATTCGCCCTTTGACAGGTTTGTTTTTAGTCCTGCTGGGTGTCATGCCACCCTCCTCACCAGTGTAGACTGGTGGGGGTGCCGGTTTAGACGCCGACGACHSRTCCATGAGGCAGGTTGTACTGGGTTACAATGTTACCAGTAGCAGACTACATGTCTGACCTGACCTGTGGAACCCCGAGTAATAAACTTTCATTGTTTACTGTAGAATTCAAAAGACTGATTCCATAACTCGTAATTAATCTTGCGTGTTCTCTAAGCACATTTTCGATGTATCACTCAAACCTACAAACCGGCTCAAGAAACAGTGATCGATCCAAAAAATTCAATCGAGAGCGCACTGTGACCAACTTAATTATGGCATAGTCCATTCACATCGTCTACCTCCGAGGAAGGTATTTCATCGAACAAAGGGTTCTACTAGTCAAGGGAATTTTCCCTAATGGAAATGCATACCTTTTAAATGTAAACAATATCTGAGAATGAAGAGAAAAGTAAAATAAAAAGTGAGAAAAAGTGGAAATAATGTGAACAATTTTCTATACATAGCTCCTTGTTGTTGCAGTATGTTCTCCCTACTTTACAGACTTTTGACTATTGTTTGGTTCGATCGCGGTTCAAGCACTCATGAGTCTCATGAAGCCGTATTTTTTTTCTACTTCATTTCTTGAGACTTTTCAAGACTTTCTCTTTTTTTTTCTTTTTTTTTTCTCTTTATAACTAGACGCATACCTGCGTGAACTCGGGGTTCTTGTTGAAAAATCTAGTAGTGAATCCGAAATATAAATATTCAGCGTAAATTGTTATATCGATAAAGTTTGTATACTTTCGTAGTTTCTTTGGTAAGGCTCTTTACACTTGCGAATTTTGCAGCGCATCAAAATACGGCTAAGAGAAAACCTGCTATGATAGTACTAATAAATATCACCCTTTATTTGTAAGTTCAAGTTCAAGTTTGTTTTTTTTTTTCACACATATATACTTATTTTACAAGGAATATTATTAATGTATTAAAGATAATTATGGGGAATTACATGTTTGTTATTGGAGAAAGTGTGCTGTGGCTACAGGAGCTTAGCTTTCGAGTTAGCCACTGCCTATTGAAAGTTTATTTTTGTGGCTAGTGTCTCGGAACGAGGCTCAAGCCACTATGCTATCGCTTTGTAAGTGCGTGACTGTGTATGATGTAATTCGGGATAACTCCGCTTTTACTCCGGCGCATTTTCGTTATTGTTCGGATACATTCTTAATCTGCCGTTATAAGTTGCTGATAAAACAAAATTCAAAGTATTTTCGAGTGCAATTATCAAGGATATTTATGAAAAATCGTCAACGTGGAGTTCTACCCTAACCAAAAATTACGATAACTGAAAAATTATTGCAACAAAGATTATTTAAAAGACATCTCCATCACATCACCGTTTATAAGTGATCGACGATCATCGACTGCTGGCCAAGGCTATACGTCGTTCTCTTGCTGGTTTTGTTGACTTCAGGTGCATGTTATTTCTTGATGAAAGATCAGTTTCTGTTGTAATTTCTTCCAGGTCAAACCGTAGTTTGACTGACTATTAGCCGATGGGTCTATTGCTAATGAAAAATTTGCCTTGAAGTTGGTCGGCGCTAATAACGCTTAGTATTGATTTATTCGGAATTTGCTATCTATTTAATGCCTGAAAAAATGAAGATGAATCCGTTCAGTCGAACTTATTAAAGTTAGTAAGACTATCAAAAGTACCTTATCATTTCGTTTCAGTGTTTTCTGCTAGATCTTCAGAAGAAAATAAATGCATGATACCGCGGTTTGTACACAGAAAAAAGTAATACAGAAGTGTTTTGATAGATAAGCATTATATGACATCACATAAGGGAACGCTCCATTGTTTCAGCATCCATGCAGGTTTTCATGCAGTCTTGATTTAACCAGGAGTGAGGGAAACGTGTGTTCCAGCAAATAATGTTATCTACACTATGAACATTCCAAACGAGCACCTCACAAGCCACTAATGAACTCAAGGATCAGGGCGTGCTATCCTAATACTCGTTTGTCGATGTTTTGAACGTTTCGATTTTAGCCCAGTATTGTATTAAGATAAAGGATCGTTGCACAAGAGTAGAAAATTTGATCTTCAAACCTCAAGGGAACTTGCAGAAAGCTCTATTTTGGTGAGAAAACCCGCTGACTCGTCCCGGGCTCAAATGTCCGGAATTTCTGACCATGTGAAAACCAGCATTACCTTTTGATTTTATGACTTGTTCAGATTCAGTGATATCTACTATAACACACTATGATAGTTACTGTTATTTTGATTATATTTCACGGTACAAGTGCGTTGACTCTATTCTGGTTGTTTCACCAAGATTCTTCCAAAGGACGTTAATCGTTTGCTGGAGTCTGTTCACGATCTCGAGTCGTTCTTAAAGGCTTTTAACATTAGCGATATCACAACCATTGTTGACCGCCCCGTCATTACGGCGTCTGGTCGTCCAGCACTTGATAGTAGCTCAGGGGGAAAAGATTTCAAGGGAAAGGCGTTGTACCTAAGCGAGGCGATTTGCAAGCCATACCCAACGATTGTACAAGTCCCTATTCCTGATCGAGATAAAGGATTTATTAGTGAACCACACTATGTTCGAGTAGTGCATCGATGTGCTGGTTCTTGTGGTGGACAACACTTGTGCAAAACATGCGAGGCTACAGGTAAAACGTCGCAGGAAACTCGATTTTTGACTGAATGCGGGGGGAGGCTAGTAATTCTATCAGCGAATAAGTAAGAAGGATTTGTAACAGATCGTGATCTTTGTTTCCACAGAGAAAAAAAGTATTACTCTCTTGGCATTTGTCATGAAATGGTCTTTATCAGGCAATGTGGAACCTGAACCGCATTACATCAAAATGATGAACCATACTAAATGCGACTGCGGTTGTATAACAAAACCATCAGCATGTAATCCTGTGATACAGCGATTTTCACAAGAAAACTGCAGATGCGAATGCAAGTCGCTAACCAAAAAGTGCCCCAAGAATAAGATGTGGCATCCCAATGATTGCAAATGTGTTTGAAATGCTCCGTCAAATGTTCATTGTCGGGAAGGACATGAATGGAATCATCATCAGAAATGTTCGTGCGTCTGTTAGCATTCAACATGAAAAGTACGGGAAAGAACCCTCTATTTAACCAACTTTATTTGTCTTATGATATTCTAGAATGCAGTAGATATATTGACCCCTGGGATAAGACAAGGGGAATTCCCCCACCCCTAACCCCCCTTTGGTTGGATATTTACATTGACTCAAAATATGGCTTGAAAAATTATTTATTTCGCCTTCCGCCACCAGTAGTTTTTTGGCCTTTGTTGTCTTGAAGAGGGGATTCAATTGACTTTCAATAGGGGTGTACTTTCTATATTCACCATGTATTCTACAGGGTGACAATACTGATTTATCTAGAAGATTATTTACAAGTCAAAATTAAAAAGTTTATTAGTAATGGTTACAACTGTTATAGGGTATTAAAACAATTGCTTGATAGCCTCTTAATGAACTACAATGCTTTATAACAA